AATTCCCCAGCCAGCCATGGAGTTGAAGTCCACTCATCTTAAAGTGGCCAGGCTTGGACAACACTGCAGTTTAGGTGATAGAAACATCAAGAAAAGCAAACAGGTAACACCTCCCCCCCCCCCCCCAATTAATTGTAGTAGAGATGCTATACAATTTTTTATGTACTTCTAGCATTTGAGATTAATGCATTTCTTGTTCCAGAATATCCCTACAAGAAAGATAAATGAGATCAAACTTTAGACCCAAGTTTGAAGACATGTGATAGCTGCAGATAATATCCTCAGTACCAGAGAATATGTTAAATATATTTTGAGCATTTCCCAGCTGTTGAAACTCTAACAACTGTTGCCCATTTTTATTTGCCAGATTTATTTTTTTTCTGCAAAAATATAAATCATGTGAATTTAAATTAAGATGCCATTTATTTTAAATGACAGGTTCTAAACGTGGAATGTTTCTGTATCAGTTCAAGTGGCTTAAAGCTCTCAAAAAGAAACAAATATATTTCTGATTAGGAATAATGCATTAGCTCACTTTCCTATTCTATGTGGTATTATGTTTACATTTGTTTCTCCATGCCTTCCCCAAATCTAAAATGTATATATAATAATTAATGATGTCCAGATCACTAAATCAAGATGTTTGTGTAAAGGCTTATGTTTATGGCTGTGCTTAGAAGCATGTATTTAATACAGAAGGAGAAAAGTGAGATTAGATAGCAATTTAGTGTTGTATGAAATTCTTATGTACAAATGAAATCAGAAAAGTATTACCTACAAATGTTGTCATATACTTGCTTTTGATCTATGATAACTCTTTCAAAGACTAGCCTGATTATTCCAAAATGGCTATCCTTTATTTATCCAAATCTGGTTTCTACATGTCTTGTTGAGAGAATTCTCTTTTTCAAGCTGGTAGGCATAGTGCCATAAAGAATTTCCCATAAATAATCTGTGGAATGTTTGAAAAGGAAGGCAGTTAGTGTCAAAAATTATATTGATCTTTTGTGTCTTTGGATACAGAACTAAGACCCACTCTCTTTCTCTTCCCACATTCATATATTCTAGCCTGCAAAATTAATCAATTTTCTGAAAGTTATTTTGGATGCTGTTTTATTTTAGCACATTTAATTTTCAAATTGTATTTTTAATCATTCAAATATTACTTGAATCTTCTTTTCATCCAATTCTGTCTCATTCACTTTTCAACAGGAAAAAAGTAGCATCAGTACATAGATATGAAAACTCATGTGCAAGCTGAGCATTGTGGGGTGTACAATGCATTTATTTATGGTTAGAAACCAATAATCCAAAGGACAAATTTATTTACAAGAAAAGAAAGGCAAAGTAGCAAGTTAATACAATAAAGCAATATAATATATTTAAACATTCCAAGATTACAGAACATAAAATATCTGATTAATGAATTAAAAATAGACAAGCCCCCTTACAGAAATTGCAGCTGGCAAAAGTTGGCAACCCATCTTGAAATTTTAGTTGAATGATCTGCTAGTACAAAGCTTATGTTTTCTTCATTTGGCTCACTAGGATGGGTAACCAGCAGAAGTGTTAACAAGCTGAGGTGCCAAGCTTGGTAGAATAGCAGGGGCTACACATTAGAATGCCCATTTCAAATCTGTATCTAACTCAGGGATATACAACTTTTTCTGGTCTGAGAGTTGTTGTTGACTGCTAAATGATGTGGGGCTCCAAAAAGTAGTAGATGGGACCAGATTCAAACCTATATTTGTTTTAATTTCATTTACATTAATATTTAATAAAGAATATGCATAGTCAATATGATTATTCTTCAAGTAGTATTTAATAATTTTTCTCTATGGCATAATAAAAATTACAACTCAATGTCAAAAGTCAGTTCCAAAGCTGTAAGGGCTAGAGGTGTTGTGCATCTCTGATGCAATGTAACTCTCTTCATCTCCAAGGTGCATTACCATTTACAGCTGTCATGGCTAATAAATATATATGTAGCTTATTGGTCACTATTTATCAAGGGCTTTTGTAGGTTGGGAATGCGAAGAGTCCCTCACATCTGACGGACAGCTAATGGACAAAGATTGGTTTAAAGATACGCTGAAAATATAATTGAGAATGTTTTAACATTAAGAGAATTCTTTTTGACAAAGCACTATGGAGAACTTACTGTAGTTGATTTTGGCAGGCGGATGGATGGATGGATGGATGGATGGATGGATGGATGGATGGAAGGAAGGAAGGAAGGAAGGAAGGAAGGAAGGAAGGAAGGAAGGAAGGAAGGAAGGAAGGAAGGAGGGCAGGCGAGCAGGCGGGCAGGCAGGCAGGCAGGCGGGTGGGCAGGCAGGCGAGCTAGCAAAATCAGACCTGGATAGCATTTTGATGGAAAACAACCTGGAAGTATGAGGGCTGCAGGCTAGACTGTGAAGCTGGAAAAAAAAAAATCCATCTCCATAACCACTTTGATTAACTTTAGGTCTGTTACCCTTCTGATTCCAACCACCTTAGCGGATTGATAATGTAAGGGTAAAATAATGGGAGTTCCTGAAAGAAAGGTGGGATATAAATAAATAGAAACCATTTAATATTGTAATTACTTTTTTAAATCTGGGAATATTCTTGGACTCCTGCTTGATAAGCAGGTGCTAGCTGTAGCTAAGAAGGGCTTTGCACAGTTCATCTGATGTGGCATTTGCACCCTCTCCTGGATTGGGACGGTGAGTCATTCATGCTCTATTCACCTCATAGCTCAAGTACTGCAATGTACTCTACATGGGGCTGTCCTTGAAAACCATGTGGAAGTTTTAACTGGTCCAGAATGAGCATGCCTCAGTATGCCTGTGTGTCACCCCTGCTCCACAAGCTGCACTGACTGCCAGTTTGCTTCTAGGTATGATTCAAGATGCTCATTATGACCTATAAATCCTACATGGCATTGGGCCTGGTTATCTAAGGAACTGCCTATCTCCTGTGGTGTCTTCCCAGCCAATATGAGCCACCATATTGAGTGATCCACATCCCTTCAATTATACAGTGTCATCTTTTGGGACCCTGGAAGCACACCACCTCTGTCCCAGCACCTGCCCTCTGGAACAAGGTTCCCCCGAGATCCATGTGGCTCCCACCATAATGGTGTTCCAGGGGACCTTAAAGACCTGGCTGTTCTCCCAGGCTCTGAGCTAGGGTAGATGAAGCCCCTCGTGGGATGTGTTTGTATATGTTTTCTATATTGTTGGCCAGATTCACCATTTTTTTTTAGTTTTACATTCTTATTCATATTGTTTCTTTTCTTATTCATATTGTATTTTATTTTATCTATTCTATTGTGAGTTGCCTAGAGTCATTCTGGAGTTGGGTAGTGCCTAAATCAAAATAATAATTGTTATTATAGGGTTCTGCTGTTGCACTAACTCCAGAAAATGATGGTGGAAGACAATATAATGATAACAATTGGCATCATATAATTGCAGTAAGAAATCAAGCTTTGGGAACAATAACTATAGATGGGCAATTCTCAGGTAATGGTCTCAGTATGATCAATTTATAGATTATTAATTTTCTCAAGAATTTCTTCCACGGTATTTTTTTTCTAAAATGTTCTATGAATGTTTATCTCATGATTACTTATCTCTGTTTCACTTACTTTTCATACTTTCTACCATACTAGCACACTTTTCTGAGATCAGGCTCCTTATCATTTGTTTTATCTATAAAACTAAAACAGTGAATTTTGATTTAACATATTCTAGTTCATACTTAAACATAACTATAATTTTTAGGTTCCTCATCGGCTACCAGTGGTAGTACCATTATAGGAGAAAACACAGGCATTTTTGTTGGAGGCCTTCCAGAAGACTTTACAATTCAAAGAAAAGACATAGGTGAGAAGACTACTGTATATTCGGTGTGCATTCTAAGAATTAACAACTACATTTTTTGATGTGTTAGTAAGCATTACAGTGCAGATACACTTTCCTCACTACTTCTTCACATGGCCCTGCAGACATGTTTATCCATTTCACTGAATATTCAGGAGCTGTTTTTCTACAAGTACTTTCCTTTTAGTATCTTGGAAGGTATTTACTTCCTTTACACAGCCTGATTTCTTCAGTACCGCTTGCTGAGATTTATCTGATGCTCACCTGCTTGATATGGAAGGATACTACCAAAAAGAATTGTTTTACAGCACATCTGCTCAAGAAATATCACTATATAAGTGTAAGGTATTAAATAACGTGTTGAATTGAATAAGGTGCTCCCAACTGCCCCTCCCTATACTGTACTTGCTCCACTGAAATCCTTCCCAAATTCTAGATCTGCAACAACATTTTTGTTTGGGATCAAATCCAAGAAACCTCCCCAAACAGGTAAGTGGGAAACTGTGCATCTGATTCTGGGAACTGCTCTGTGAATGCAAGGATGGATATAATGCAAGGATGGATATAATTCTGTGTCATCTTGAAATTCTAGTAATTTTGCTGTTTGTTTATTTATTCATTGATCAGGCCCAACTAAAATAGTCACACAAGGATTTGTGGGGTGTCTCCGAGATATCTTCTTGCAAAAGATGCACCATCCCTATGAAGTCTGGGAACCTTTAGAATGGGAAGAAGCAGTGGAACAAAGGAACGGTTATCACAGTTGGGAAGGTTGTCCTACTCTGCTTGAAGATGGAGCACATTTTCTTGGGAAAGGTATAATCACATGGTAAAATTGTTTGGATGTAAATGAATACGAAAAGAGGTCTGTCTGCCTTTGAAGGTTTCCCTTTATTTTAGAAGGGTAGCAGTTCTACTGAAGTTGAAAAGAATATAGATGCTTTCATTTGTGTTGCTAATTTATGTGTGCTGAATTACAGATTGAATATACATATAGTATGTACAGTATATACATTTCTTGAAAACTTGCAAAAATTAGCTCTGCATTCCTTAAACTGATATTATATGTAATTCCATGCATGACTCATATTAATTTTTATTCTCACTTATATAATTAAAGCAACTATAATATAACATTCTTGCTTTTCTCCTTAAGGTTTCCTAGAACTCCATCCAAATATTTTTCATGGTGGCATGGATTTTGAGATCTCTTTTATGTTTAAAACAGATCAATTCAATGGATTACTTCTGTTCATTTACAACAAAGATGGGCCTGATTACATTGCTGTAGGTTCTTTTTGTTTGTTTGTTCATTGTTGTTGTTTTGCTTGGGTGTATGTCTTTACTTGGCTGAATTGTAAATTGTTCTGGGCAGGGAATGTTCCATTGTCATGCAGGGCATCGTCTCAAAGTATGCCAAATTTTTATGTGATACTTTGGAACTGCCAATTGAGGTCCCTTGTTGGGCTTGTCCTAATCTAGAGTAGTTTTATTAATTAGGTTATGTGTGTATGAAAACTCTCCATCAGATCTTCAATTTTTAAAAAATATAAAGTAATATTCCAATAACCTCTATGACTTCTAGCATTTATAGAAAGAAGACATGTTGGATCAAGATATGTCATGAAAGGGTAGCTTAGAATGGATGTGAGAACAGGTTGCCCTCTGTTCTCTTAACACAACACAAAGGATAGGGGCAAACTTTGGCAGACCAGCATGGATGTGTTTCAGTTTTAAATTTTAAAAATGTTGATCGTGGCTTACAAAAATGAAAGAAACAGACACACATACAGACACACGCATATTGATTCTCCCCCATTCCAGTTCTTTAAGTGCTATAGACAGCTGATGGTCTAAGTCTTATTGAACTGACTTAGAATATTTTCATTTTATCTTAAAAATGAAATAGTATGCAAAGAAGGATGTAATCTACAAATTCAATCTGAGGAAAAAAATGTGTATATCTCAAAAGCTTGGATTTTGCTTTTCAAACAAAGACCAGTAGTAGTTGTGATCTCTTATGTTGTTTTATGTTTCTTGTCCTGAGGATTCAATATAGCCACTGAGACTTGGAACTGTATTCCTTAGGTAGTCACTGCGCTTTTTCATGCTTAAATTCATACCTTAGTTTTGTTTTGCTTTCCTGCAATCATTAATCTTTTTTTCTCCCTGTTTTAACAAATGGCAGGCAGAACTGAAAAGTGGAAGCCTGACTTTCCTATTAAATAATGGCATTGTCTCTACACGTGTGAATCTCTGGTTAGGACTGTCTTACTGTGATGGAAAGTGGAATAAAATTATTTTGACAAAAAGAGGATTGGTAGCTTCAGCACGGATGAATGAATGGACAGACCACGTGACAGAACCTGATTTAGAGCAGCTATTTGTAAACTCTCCAGTCTACCTTGGAGGGACTCCAGTTAAAGTCCAGGAAGCCTTTAAAGAGCTGGGCTTAGAACAAGGTGTGTACTACGTGGGAAGTGTGAAGAGGTTTGCATATAGATAATAGAGTGCATATATTTCTTGGAAATGTTTATAGTTGGAATCAAGGTTTGGAGGGGAGGAGGGAAAATCAGCAAAATTCACTTTTATTTATGTGTGAATGGAAATGTATTCATGCATCTTTGGATCCACTGCCCTATGTTTAAGTAATTAATATTTATGCAATTACTTGCCTAGAACCACTTTCTACATTACCTTGAATTCCATGCTACTTCTAAAAATTAAATAATTAATTATATTATATTATACTAATATTTATAATTAGTTTAGCTAATATAATTAACAATACATAATTTAAAGCTATAGATAGAAATAGACAGTTTCTGGTATAGGAATGTTCTGTTCAAAAATAATTAAATGCATTTATTTATTTATTTATTTATTTATTTAATCAATTTGTAAATAATAAATAATATCATACATACGCCAATTAAGAGAGACAATTTGGTTAAGGCACCAGGCTAGAAACCCTGAGCCCATGAGTTCTAGCCCTGCCTTAGGCACAAAGCCAGCTGGGTGACTTTGGGCCAGTCATTCTCTCTCAGCCCTAGAAGGCAGGCAATGGCAAACCACTTCTGAAAAACCTTGCCAAAAAGACTGCGGAGACCAGTCCAGGCAGTTGCCAGGAGTTAACACTGACTTGAGGGCACTTCCCCCACCCCCCCCAAAAAAAGCCAGTTGACAATTAGAACTCCAGGAATGTTTACTTACTCTTTGCTGCAAATGTTTCTGCCATACTCCAAAGCCAGAAGGTTGGGAGATGTTGCTAGGTCACCTGTAACTGTGATAGTGAATACTAGGCAGGATAGGCATTACATCTTTAAATGATAGGGCAGCTGTATGTCTAATAGAGATACAGCTTTTTAGGTTCCTTGCACCTAAATATCGGATAATATGTACATAAAACCAAAATTTAGACAGCTTTATTTAAGAAAATAAAACTATGGGAAAAGAATATTTCTTAGCAGGTAGCAGTGATCCTCTGCACATACCCAAAGTCACACTTTCTATACGATTAACCAGGCAAATATGCCTTTGAAATCCCATGAAAGAACACCCACTATTATATGAATAAAGGAATTAATCACAAATCACATTAGCTTGTTTTGTATTTGAGCTACAATATCAAAATCAATCTTTTGGATGTCTTATGCTGACCAAAAGGGGGAAAAAAATAGCACAGAGCAATAATTGCATACAGCCACCCAGACATAGAGAGAAATGTAATCTAAAGTTTAACGTTGATATTTAGCTCCCTGTACAACTAAAATGTAGGACTGTAAGAAGTAAAACATGCTTCTTAATTAACAGCTGAAGCCCTTTACCTGCTGCTAATCCCCTTACTGTTTGCTAGGTTTTGGAGGCTGCATGAAGGATGTTAAATTTACACGAGGTGCTGTCGTTAACTTGGCATCTGTGTCCAGCAGTGCTGTCAGAGTCAATCTGGATAGATGCCTGTCAGCTGACAGTGCTGTAAACTGCAGGGGAAATGACTCCATCTTAGTGTATCAAGGAAAAGAGAAGAGTGTTTATGATAATGGCCTGCAACCATTTACAGGTACCACTGTGGTTTCTTCCTTATAGGTATGGGTTTTTTTGTTCACTTTGCAGTGATTCTATATTAATTTCTCTTTCTCTCTCTTTCCCTCTCTCCCTCAAGAATATCTATACCGGGTAATTGCTTCTAATGAAGGAGGATCTGTATCTAGTGCCTGGAGCCGTAGTCGCACAAGAGAATCAGGTAATTAACGTTTCTGCATAGCGTTCCCATATGAAGTCTTTATTTAGATTGCCAATATGACAGTATGGACATATTTAGATTGGCACTAGGAAAACACAGTAACCAGGTAATGCAAAATTGTTCTCTAAACTCAATGATTTTTACAGCTTTGCTGGCTACAGACTGGTAAGACAGAAATAAGAAGATCAGAGTTTGGACTTTCTGTTTTCTTTTGCCTTACTTTTACAGGAGTAACAACAAAATGCCATGAATTTATTTAGAAAGCCATTTCCTCCTGGACTGGACTTTGGAGAAGGGCAGAAAGAGCCCTGGGAACACATCAGATTCTTTGCTTCTCCTATCCTGCTCATTGGCCAATATCTGTCACACTCCTTTGGGGGTTTCTGAGTTCAATTTTTTCTGACTTTTAAAAAGCCAGCCTTGGAGGAGGCACAGCTGGACATCCCTGCGGTTCCAATATTCAAATTACTGAATCAGGCTGTGGGTTTGGCCCCTATTTTAAGTCCTATTTTTAGCGTGTTGCCTCTTTCATCAGATATAAAGTGTTGTTTCTGCTCAGAAGAGAATTTCAGAGCACTTTTCTAGAACGATAGAGGCATCTCCTTTGAGAATGTTATTTACAGTATTTGATTTATGGCCCACTTTTTATTCTAACAAGAGATGGTTAACAAACTTGTAAAAGAAAATAGCGCCCCCCCGAACCTAAAAAGTTTAAAAAGTAATTTAGAATGAGTACTAAAGTAAACACTAAAATAATTTAAACAAATAATGGTGAAATATTTTCTAGACACTGAGAAGTTGGACCCAAATTTTGTTCCAGACAAATATACTTCATAACCTGAGTGCAATACAGAAGGCCCAAGAACCCAAACAACAGAATTCTTCATTCTGCATATTTAATCAGCTAGGTTTGTAATGGAAGAGATTGTCCCTTAGGTTCTAAGCTGTGTAAGGTTCTAAAAGTCAATACTAACACCTTACCTTTTGTCACTGAAGCCAGTATAATTTTTTTCTGATGAGTCTGATGATTCTATTACACCATTTTGCTCTCTAGCTGCTGCATTTTGTATCCTCTGTAGCTCCTGGATATTTTCAGGGGTAGCTCCATGTAGAACATCTTGCAGTAGTCAATACAGGATGAAATCACATTTTTGATAACCATCACTAAATTTAGCTGGTTCAGGAAGGATCACATCTGGCATTTGTGGGAAAGCACTCCCTCCCACAGCTGCTATCTGCAAATCCAGTGATAGCTGAGAATCGATGAACACTTCCAGATGAGGACCTTCTCATTTCAGGGAGTGCAACTACATCTAAAAAAAAGCTGAACCTCTGTCCCCAAATCCAGTTTTTTTATTTGTAGGTAGCAGCTCCATCTTGTTTCAATTTAATTTCAACTTGTTCTACTTCTTCCAGCCAGCTGTTAAATTTAGCTAATGTTCAAAAGAATTAATTGATCTTGGATTTAAATGGTATGGAGCAGCAGAGCAGGGTGGCATTTTGACACTGAAGCTTCAAATGACATCTAATTCCAAAGTTTTGGATGATCTTCTCCAGTTATGTTGTGTAAATCTTGAAAAGAATGAGGATTAAGTTTGAAGTCTTGAACTTCTTAGGTCAGGAGCCTAGGAATCAAACAGTAGTCTCCTAGCACCAATTTCTCTATATGGCTTGGCAGGAGTGACCAAAACACTGTACAAAAATGCCCCCAAGGCCTTATCTTGTCAGGTATTTGTAACAATGCCATAATTATTAAAAGCTGCCAAGAAATCCAGGAGAACTACAAGAACTGCAGTCCCTTCACCAGTTTCTAGTATAGGTCATCTGCTTAGATGATAAAAGCATTTTTGATACCAAATCCTGGCCAAAAGTCCAATTGAAATGAATCACGGTAATCAATATCATTCAGAGGTATCTGTAGATGCAAGGCTGCCACTTTCTCAGTTATCTTTCCCAGAATTAAAACATATGAGACTAGTCTAAAATAATGCAGACCTCCCAGGTTGGTAAAGGGTTTTATAACTGCTTTCATTAGGCAGGGGGAAAAACATTCTACCTGCAAGGATGCATTGATCACCTCAATTAATCACAGCCCCTCCTGAGGTCGAAAATGATCAGGACAAACAGGTACCATAGTTCCATTTACCCCAGCAACAACCTGATCCAACATCAACTCAAAGTTGGTCCAGCTGAGTTTGTCTGTAAAGAATCATGTAGTTTTCATACATTGACTCATCAACTGTTCTGGAGGAGCAGATATCACATAGTGTGAACAAGTAACCTGGCATGTTTTGTGTGAATGCAGTGAAACTAGAGAATGAAGCATTCTACATTGCCTTCACTGCCTTATACAGTGAAGGCCCTCAGAGGCCCTCACTCTGAGCTTTATCTGATCCATCTTGTGAGTCCCTCCACTTATACTCCAGATGACATTCCTTCCACTTCCTCACTCTCAGCATGTTAGTAAAACAAAATCCTAATTTGGTTCTGCAGAATGGAACAGAGTGCTGATAATTTTGTTATCTGCAAATGGGGTGAAAAAAATGAGAGAATCTTATTCACTTCAATCAGGCAGTTTGAGAATTTGCTTCTCACCACTTTTTACAGCATACTAGAATTTAAACCCAATTCCTTTCTGGTACTATTATTATATCACATCCACTTTTAAATTATCAATTGCTGATAAAAAAAATCAGAAACAAAATTGGCATATGACCTCCTCGTTCTACTTGCAAAGAGGTAACATAAGTGCTTAAGTCACAAAAGCTTTTTCAACATGTTTTCGTCAAAGCAAAGGATTTTTACTTGCAGATGTTTTGCTTATACAGCTTAATGCCACCATGTGGTCGACCATCCCAAAGCGAGCAAATGCAGCCATATTTTTGTCCTAATTGTCTGACCAGAGTAAGTTAGACCATAAATTTATATTTACAATCTGACCAGAGCACTAGCAGCTACATGTTCCCAAGGGCTAGAAAATAATTGCACTATTTAATTATTTTTGAGTCAGTTTTGTTATGTCCCCTATGAAAAGGCCATCTGCTATACAGTGCCTTACCTTGCTCAGTGATGTATTTCAGAACCAATAAAACCAATATATTTATGTAATATTGCCAGCAAACTGATGTGTTGTAAGTAGATCATATTGCTACTTTTAGGAGGCATCATACTTGGTCAACACTTTGAAAAGTAATGTATCATTTCTATGCAGTTCCTTTCTCTCCCCACTGGAAGATATTTAAAATAAATCTAGGGAAGGGAGGCATAAAAAGAAAAATACTTAGTTAAGAAATGCTTCAGCAATCCTAATCATTAAGGCTTTTGAGTAGATAGGCATTTATAGCAAAACCATTATCCATCATTCTGCCAGAGAGTTCCTTGAGCCATTTTCTTTGCATTCTCTGTGCAGTCACCTGTGATAAAGTTGTTTCTTACTAGATCTTTACTTGATGTAACAGTAGCTTATTAAAGTAGCTAAAGATTATTAGAAATTAGAATATTTTTACTACCATAGCTGGCTTCAGTGAGTTAAACTTTGAATGTTCTTAAGGCTTCAATGAAAGTTTGTGTTAATCATCTTCCATATACTGCTAAATAGGCAACACCTACCTGACTTTGACTGATCTTGAAAAGTTAAGGGTGACACGTGGATACACCATTAGGAAATACCATGGTTGTAGTCTAGACAAGAAAATTGAAAAGGAAAATGCCTTGGAAGAAGGCAATGGCAAAACACTTCCATATTGTTGACAACAATATCTCAGGGATGTGTTCATTTGAGCTTGATTTGATGGTGACTTTACATTTACTTTGCAAAGTAAAAAAATTCTTTATTTGTAGTTTTTTTTAATTGATCCAGAGCAAAACATTATATGCACATATACTAAAATACGTGGCCCAACCCACTTTCTCTTGGCTTTGATAGAGAAATGTTATGGATAATCCAGGATAAGATTACATACACTATCTGTAGGGTTGTTGTTGTGGGTTTGTTTTTTGGGGGTTTTTTGGGCCATTAAACTTTGCTTTAAGTTAGGAAATATTCAGTATACAAACTGTGTATGTTTAGTATAAGGCAGAATTTTAGGAAACGGTTTTGGATTTTTGTTGATGGAATGTAGAACCCCAGTTTATATGCATCTAATATTGTTTGAACTATTACATTCCACTTCCTTCTTTTTTAAGTAACGTTTCTTTGGTACCTTAACTAGAGAACGAAGAACATTGCATATATAGAGTTCTGATGGTTTTGAAATATAGCTAATGCTGAATGGCTCAAGATGTGTAGTCATATTAAATCAATGCTGAAAGTTACAACTCTAATAAATTGTATATATGCTAATGGTGAATCTGATTTACTGCAACTATTAAAAGTGAAGAATGGAGCAATAGTCTTCTTAAGACTGCTATTCTTTCTGTTTCTCTTTTATTCATTCATAGTACCACAAAACGTGCTGACACTCTCAAGAATTCACAGCATAAATGGTTACAACATTGAAGTTACATGGGATGAACCAGTTGGGGTAAAAGGTGTAATTGAGAAGTATATTTTGAAAGCTTCCAGTGAAGATGGTTCCAACATATCTGTTGTCACTGCAGAGATTTCTAATACTAGTTCATGTACAGGTATATGCTAATAAATATATCTTTAAAACAATAATATAGAGTTTAGTTTTCATGAGTATTATTCATTGGTGAAATGACTTCCAGGAAATGCCATGTGAAGAAACGAATAACAAAGTGGCATTTCCTGGAAGTCATTTCACCAATATTTTAACTTTTTTGCTGAGGTGCCAAAAAAATGTACTCAGATATTGCTTATTAATTGTATGTTCATGTGTTTATAAGAGTGAAGGAGAGCAGCCCCATTTTTGTATCAGCAAGGGCAGGGTGAAGAGAAGTCAGGATAGAGGTAAATGGAGAAGAACTCATTTTGGTAATGCTCAGATCAAAGAGGAAACCTGACTGTGAAAGGGTAGTCTTGGTTTCAGATCATCATCTTTGTTAGACATAAATAGGTTAAAGCCCAGAATTGCAGGAATTTTTTTCCTGTTCATTTTCTTTTTTGTGAGATTCAGACTGTTCTCATTAATGTGAATTTTGGAATAATTTTTAACATTAATTTTGAAATTGCAAAATATAATTAGAAAGATGGCTTTCAATCCTTCTTTATAAGTAGGGGTTAACCAGATTTTTTTTTTTTCATTTCAGTATAATGAAAACTGTTATCATGCTTGCTAAAACACATATCTCTAGCATATATTTAAGCTTATTTTACATTCAAGGAATCTGTCCACAGAATGAATGGGCTGGGCAATTGCCCTGGTGATAGAGGCTGCTCTTTCCTGTGCATTATCTGATTCTGTAGTTTTCAGTGTGGCAATGCTGATCCAGAAATTGCCTGATGTAACTGGCAAATTGAGAAGAAACAATGATTAACTTCAAAAGTTTGTTCTATATAGTGGAGCTGAAATGTCAGGTTATAATCCAGAAAAGTGTTTATTATAAAGACAATGAAAACTTAATGATTATGATATACTGGAGTGGCAGTAAATTGAGGGCAGGTGATGGGTGCACCTTGACAGAAAGGTGGAATAAAGGAAGAGTAAGGAAGAGAAAAAGAGGAGTGAGCCAGAAGATCAGGAAAGCGTATGGGGAAGAGGAGAAATGTATCTCCCATCTGCTAAGTGTCTACTAAATTTCCCAAGATCTCAGAAAGATCATGGGTCTTTTGTTAGGCAAATTAGGTAGGTATGTAGATTAGAAAGACAGACAGACAGAGATAGATAGATAGATAGATAGATAGATAGATAGATAGATAGATAGATAGATAGATAGATAGATAGAAGATAGAATATTTCAGCAAATAAGTCTGATGTCACTGGACTCCAGGAATTATGTGCTTGTTTATAACAGTTTCTGCTTTAGAGGATCGTATTATTTTGCTGGAAAAGAAACATGTTATATTTTTATGTTTCCATATTTACTGAAAGGGGAACAGGTTTCCCAAAAAGAATCTGAAAAATGTTTGATGGAAGTTATTGATGCAGTTTTCTGATGAGTGCACAGGGCTTGCTGTATTGTCAATACATGACACGGTGCTATTCTGGCTGTGTTAAGGGTCTGAGGCATGCAGGTAGCAAGAGACTTTTTTCTTCATTTCAGTGGAGTGTAAAAGCTGATCCTGAATATCTGGCCCTGTTGACATGATGCTCAGGCTTGTCAGTTTGGCAGAAAGAAACAGAGAAAATAAAAAAGGAATGTAACATAGTGGTTGAAGCAAACCTTGATATAAGTTAAGCAAATGAGGGAATAGCAAAGAATAAGGACAGTTTATTTGATCCAGCATGCTGTTTCCAATAACTTTTCAGCAAAATTGAAGGTATTCATAGAACCAGTAGGCCATCATCGTCAAGGGCTCTACTAATTTTAAACCTCTGTTTTTACTAAAAACATAGAGCAATGGGACACCCATTATTCCCTATATATTAAAATGAAGAATAAAATAGGAATGGTCTAGTGTTCAGTCCCTTGGAATTGAGGAAGGAACTTTCTTTGGTGGGATTTAGTCTTTTTGAAATAATGTAAGCTTTATTTGTTCGTTTTTCAGAATGAATTTCAAACCTGTAAGTCATCTTGAATGTCCTTTTCAGACCAAAAGTAGAATTCAATCAATCTATTTAATCTCCTGCAAGCTTATCAATTGTTTTACTCCACAATTTTTTTAGACAGCTGTTAAAAATAAATGTGGTTTAAATAAGGGATGGTGGTAGAAATTAGTATGTTAACTTTCCTTTGGTGTGTATGAAAGGATATAATTTGTGTAGCTCTACTAAAATATGTACAGCTTTAAATTTCAAGGAGTTGTTTTGGCTAGTGGTAGATTTAAAGTAAATGATGCAATTTCTTATTGATTTAGAGAGCTGGCAAAAATCAAGTTAAAAAGGTTGAAGCTAGACCTCCTTTGAAAGCATTATGGTCAACTGAATGTTTTTCAAGGACTTTTCACTTCAGCTACCTGATTATACCAGTTTTACTTGCTGTTTGCTTAAATTCACATGAACAGACTTTTGTCAGCACAAATATTTGGAGAATGACAGTTCTGATATCTCCAAGATAATTCTGAACAAACATCAGCATTTTCTATTTATTGCTCACTCTTCCTCATTGATTGTGTTCTTGGTTTAAAATGTATCAGTCATCATTTTTGGCAATCAGACAAATAAGTTTGAAATTAGGTGACATTAAAGAAATGTGCTTTATTTTTTAACCATTAGCTAGAATATAAAGAAAAACTGGACATCTGTTCTGCAGAATGTCATTGAATTTCCTGTGAGTTTCAAACCAGAGTTGGTATGAAGCAAAAAGAAAAAAGAAAAGCCGGGGGGGGGGGAATGCTTTGGAAGCAAAAATGGAAGCCTCTGTATGTAGTTGTTCATTATCCATGACCTCAATGTCTTAATACCATGTCAGTCTTTAACAACATTATCCAATGATAGGAAATCATGGAAACAAGATTGACTGTATAAAATGGGAGCACAAAAAAGTAGTTTTACAATACCCAGAAAACTAATCATATTGCCACACTTCTCTTCTAAGAACTATAGCAGATATCTTGCCTTGGGGCTTCAGATCTTGTGCCCTCCACACACCTACACCCATTCCATTCTCACAACAGAGGAGGCCATGACCGAGCATCCTACGCAAGTAAGGAAGAGAAAAATGAGAACACACACAACTTATTGAACCATTATTTGATGAACAGACCAAAATTGAATGGGTTCACCTATTGTACGAAGCCAGATAAAGTAAACATGGTTTAGTGGAATGTGTGAACCCAGTCAAAGTAACGAATAATTTCTGCAACTGTCTCCCATGGGTCTCCATCATTCGTTCATTCATACCTACACAAATTATCTATCTATCTATCTATCTATCTATCTATCTATCTATCTATCTATCTATCTATCTATCATCTATCTATCTATCTATCTATCTATCTATCTACTGTATATCACATAACATTCTACCATAGCTAATAAATTCTCATTCCTCACAAACACGGTACTTCTAGACTCAGGGATGATATGATGCATTCCTCTCACTTTATTGTGTATTCTCCTACAAGTAAAGATGCGTCTGATGCTTTTTCCATGTGCCTTATGGGAAAGAAGCAATAGCACGGATCCTTTTCTTTTATCTTGGATTTTTGAACCTCCTTCACAATGTAAGCTTTATGATAGACAGTTAGTCAACAGATCTTGTATTGTGAAACACTACTTTGCTACCTGTGGAACAAACAAAGAAAGCCCACGGAAGTGACTTTCTGGCAACCCCTTCATCTCCAATATTGTCCAACAAGGTTGTTATATTTTCTACACAAGGATCCTTGTGTCTGTGTTTGCTGAAGAGCCCTATGTTTAAAAGGTAGGTGAAGCTTGGTGGGCAAACTATTTTTTAAAAGTCCACCAGCAAACAAAGAATTAAGCAGAAAGGTAGTTTGTAATAGTCCAAGATTTAACCAAGTCAGCAACAAGAGTTCCATCCACCAGAAGGTACCAAAAAGAGTACCAATCAGGCTTAAGTCCAAGAAATATTAACACTTCAATACTAGAGAGGCAGCCAATCACAGGAATATACTGAGGATAGACATTGTTTCCAGCAATGAGTCCTTCCAGATGGTAAGTTTTATCCTAGAATTTCTAAGTCTCAATCTTCCACAACTGCTTGGAAAGAACAATGTTCAAATATCCATATTCCCAAAGAACTTTTTTTTTAGGTGCAATGCTCTTGCTCTGGGAAAGTGATTTGGAATCTTCCTGGTTAGCATTTAGGGATTACATTATGGTATAGTTATTTTTCTCCTCATGTTGCCACCCAACAGCCCTCTTCAACATGACCCATACCCTGCATGAGAGGGATGAGTTATAGGATCACCTGCAGATTTACTCAGAGTTGGATTATGATTAGGCAAGTTCTAGTGAGGTTACAGAAGCTTTTATGTGGTTAGCTGGGACCGGTTTGAAACTGTAACTCCTGAGGAAGTGGACAAGATCTTCAGTATTCAAAGCTGACCACCTGTTTATTAAATCCATATCTCCCCTCGTTGGTGAAGGCCACCAGGGAGTAATATGTGGTTAGGTCCATGCCATAGCATCTGCTTCAAAAAGAGACCGGGTATTCCTGTAGACAGTAAAGATTACTTTGTTGGAGATAAACCAGATCTATTGCCAGAGTGATGAAGCAAGAAACACAACTCAGCTCCAAAACAAGCTGAGGGGAGAAGGAAACAACTCAGACAGACACCTCCTTAGTTTCACAGGAGTGGGAAGGAAGCAAAGCCCAATCAGACTTTCTTGGTCTGGCATAGTGTAATGGATGGCATAAGCGGGGAAGATTCTGGAATGGAAATTCAAGGTTGTCAGGAGGGGGGAGGGGCATTCCAGAACAAGCGCCTCCTCAGCCTGCAACAAGAGTGTGGGAAGACGAAGAGGATGAGGATGCCCCCCCCCTAGAGTCTCACGGGGTATATCCACTAGTTGCTTTAACATAGGCAAGATTTATTTAGACTAAATAAAGATTGCTTTAGTCTGGCAAGATTGATGTCAGGTTCAGCCCAAGAACAA